AAAATTGAAATTCCACTCTCGAATCAAAATCCATGTTCTCCCCATTTCTCATTCTCAGATTTAGCATCTGATGTCGCTACATAATGAATCCCCATTGAAATTAGTTAAACTAAATAAGTAATCTTTCCTTCAGTTGATTTGTGTTAAATAATAGCCACCAGTTCTCTCATAAGAAGTACTTAGTTCTTCCTCAAAAGAGCTCTTTATCTTGTATTCCAGTTGTTCCTATGACTTTGCCAACTAAAGTTCTAAGTGTCCATCGTAAATCTCTGAACCTTGTTGATTCTCCTCAGCCACTCCTTAAAAAGGTAAAGTATTTGGAATAGCTTTTAAAAAAAGTATAATGGTCCATAATGCTGGATTAGTCCTAAGAACTCGCTTAAATGGTGAGACTCAGTTTAGAAGCTCTGAGTTTGATGCGAATCCAGTCAGTCACTTAGTTGTCTGGAACCTGATTTGTATCATTATGTATACTGAGTTTGGTGCAAACCTTTACATTTTGCCCGTATGAGAAAGCTACTGCCTGCCTACTCATCAGAACCCAGGTAGCATCAGAGGAAATAAACTAGCTGTCCTCCCTGTCCTGTCCTATCTGAGTCAGCCAACCAAGACAGTGCCTCAGAGAACAAGGTGCAAGACTCTGTTCCGGGAGCATAAAATCTCAGAGTGTTCCCCGTTGGTTCCCAACATTTGTTATTTTATTCTGTAGTCTCCCCTGATTTTATCCCACATGAATGAAAATATCCAGTGCCAGCTGGAGAGTATTTTAAGATAACTTCAATTTTAGCTTGTTTAAAACATACATTTTGTGTTTTTCTTTCAAAGGTACAAAAGTATAGACTACAATGAACTGTTACTGAGCCAATATGCATGCATAAGTGGCCACCTGGATGCTTCCTCCCAGTCACTTCCTTCCCCTGTAGTCCAAAGATAATGACTATCGTGTTTGCTAACAGCAGAGGCCACTTCTGCCTGTTTTTGAACTTTGCATAAATAAAACTTACACAGATTTTAACCTGTTCAGTTCAATCTCATGCAAATGTTGACCAAAACAGTTATTCACTAATCAAAACTAGTGAAAGCCTATAAATAAAAAAGGTACAAATTATTGGCTTAAAAACTTGAGCTTAGTAGAGTGCCAGAATTCAAAGAATAGGTTGGTGTTTCTCTCTCTTTTTTTTTTTTTTTTTTTTTTGGTACCAGGGATTGAACTGTGGACCTTGCGCTTGTGAGGCAGGCAGCAGAACCACTGAGCTAAATCCCTGGCCCAGTGTTTCTCTTTTTGATTATCTAAAAATTTCAACATTCAGCCCTTCTCCCTGTTTTTTGGGCTTTTATATGGCCAGGCTCCTGAAGGTGAATTCCAGTGGCCCAGAGATAACCATGGTGATGTAGACTGTGAGAAGCTGGTTGAGCAGCTGAAAGATTGTTCAAACCTACAAGACCAAGCAGATATTCTGTACATTCTTTATGTAATAAAGTAAGTGTCTTTGTTTGGGCTACAGTAACAACGTACCATAAACCAGTATTTATAAACAACAGAAATGCATTTCCCACAGTTCTGGGGGCTGGAAATCCAAGATCAAGGTGCCACCAGATCCTCTGTCTAGTGAAGGCCAGCTTTCGCATGGATGGCACTTTTTCACTGTGTCCCCACATGGCAAAAGGGATGTGCTGGCTTCCTAGGGTCTCTTTTATAAGGACATTAATCTAAATTATGAGGGCTCAGCCCCCATGATCTAATCACCTCCCAAAGGCTCTACCTCCTAATATTACCTTGGAGGTTATAATTTTAACATCAGAATATAGAAAGGGACAGACATTCAGTAAGTTTACAGCCTTTACTAGGCTGCTTTCTCGGTTCTCCTTAATCCATTCTTCTAAGTCTCTTGGCCTTCCAGCAGCCCCGGGTCATGATTATATTCACCCAAATTACCCAGGATAGCCATGAATCAGGCTTCTTTCCCCTTCTCTGCCTATTGATGCTGGCCCTCAAGGTGAGAAGCCCAGGTGAAGGAGACCATGATGGGACCTTCTCAGTGAGGCTTAGGGGCATTGGGAGTACACAAGTGCCTTAACATTTTGGGCCACATCTCTGCATTTTTCTCCCTCTTTACAGGGGTCCCAACTGGGACACTAATCTCTCTGGACAGCATGGTGTCACTGTTCACAATCTTCTCAGCGAGCTCTATGGGAAAGCTGGCCTGAATCAGGAGTGGGGTCTGATTCGCTATATCTCAGGCCTCCTCAGGAAGAAGGTGGAGGTCCTAGCCGAGGTGAGAGTAACTGTGCTTGCTGGGTTGTCTGTTTGTCCTCCCTAACCCCATGCCCTCTTCCTCTTCAGTTATAGAAGAAGCTAGAGGCAAGTACCTCTTATCTGTAGGGGAAAATGGAAGCCTAATTCAGCACTGGGACTGCCCCCCCCTTCTCCTGACCTCCTACTACTGTGGGAAGGCAAGCAAGAAAGGAAATTCAAGTTGATTAGTATCATTTTTCTTAGCTACAGAAAAAGGCCTACCAAGATAGCAAATGAAAATGCCCTGTGGCCTGCCACCCTCTGAAACACAGCTTTATTTCTGCACATCTGTAGTACAATGATCATTAATATTTATAACCCTGAGGCCTTGCAAAATCCAGACCCACTTTCTCTGACAAAGTTCAGGGTTCTGGTAAGGTAGTAATTGTTATATGTGAATAATGAGAAAACTGGTAAATTAGGAATATGAAGTGGTTGGTCATTAACTTATACCATCACCATGTGAGGATTCATCCCTGCCTGGCTGAACATCAGGTGTTTGCTACAGTAGGTAGGTGTTATATGCTTATTGGTGGGCCCTGCAGAACCAGGCCTGGGGCCATGCTTGGGAGACACAAAGATCAGGGGACCCACCCTTGCCTGCGTTGCTGCCTGGGATGTAGGTATTAATTTTTCAAAGGGAAATGAGGATCATAAAGTTTGTGAAGGTAAATTTATGTTCTTACTGGCCGCAGCCACTCCCTGTTGGCTTTCCCTGTTCCCTCCCCTCCTTCTCTCACCAATCTTCGTCCCCAACACATAGGCCTGTACAGACCTGTTGTCCCACCAGAAGCAGCTCACGGTGGGCCTGCCACCTGAGCCCCGGGAGAAGACCATCTCTGCGTAAGTCTTTGGCCCCGGACCTTCAGATTATGGGAGAGTGATGGGAAAATATCAGTGTTCTGCACTGTTCAGGGGGAGAGGCTATTTAAAAACACTGTTACATAGGCACTTCTAGCACAGAAAACGAGGGATCTTCTACAGGGAGTGAGGAGGCTCTGCTCATGTTTGTGACCTGGCTCCTTCCTAGGCCTCTTCCTCCAGAGGAGCTCACAAAACTCATCTATGAGGCCAGCGGGCAGGACATCAGCATCGCTGTTCTTACACAGGTCAGGGCCTGGCATGGGAGGGGCTGGGCCACCACCTTCCTCAGAGGGGAAACAGGGCCTCTTGGCCACCCAGCAGGTGTCTAAAACCCTGTCCCTGTGTGTATCTGTATCAGGAGATTGTGGTTTACCTGGCCATGTATGTCAGGGCCCAGCCCAGCCTCTTTGTGGAGATGCTTAGACTCCGTATTGGACTGATCATTCAGGTGATGGCCACAGAGCTGGCACGGAGCTTGAACTGCTCAGGTGAGAAGCAAGAATTCTGGCAGCTCCTATTGCCCTGCAGGGCCTCTGGCCACAAGGCCTTGCTGTGGGGGGAATCCCTGCTCAGGTATTCCTGACCCAGCTTCCAATTCCTCAGTCGGGCTCAGGCCTCATGAGTTACCCTCATTTAGAGGCAGCTTCCATCAGGCCAAGCAACAGTCATGAAGCTCCTAAGTCAGGGCAAGGCACTATTATAAACCTTTTTCTGTTACAGCTGAGCTCCTTACTCATGTCCTTACTGTGAGATGTCATCACCCATTTAGTAGTAATACCTTCACTGGAGAAGTCCCACCAATTAAAATATAAACCTAAATTGCAAGGTATATCCCAACATCAGGGATAAGTACTGTGCGGAAAATTGTGTCTAGGAATTAAGCAAATACTGTACCAATTTAAACAACAGAATTTAGAGTCCCCCAAGGACTACTGGCTTTCAGCCCTGAAGGAACTCTGAGGTAACCCTGAGCAGGGAGATATGCTACACATCCTTTGTCACTCCCTCCTCCCAGGTCCACTGGACTCTGCCTTCACCGCCCCCCCCCCCAGCCCTGTGTCTGGGACACTTAAAAGATGTTTATTTGTAGGTGAAGAAGCTTCTGAGAGTTTGATGAACCTCAGCCCTTTTGATATGAAGAATCTCCTGCACCATATTCTGAGTGGAAAAGAGTTTGGCGTGGAAAGAAGTGGTAAGTCAGAGCTCCAGTCACTCCCACAGGGAATGGCCCCCTTGCCATGCAGACCAGTAGCAGTACTGGTGATTTGGTACATCCTGTGTGATTGTACGGTTCCTCTTTTAACAGGATAGACAGAGGCCTAGACTCGAGGTTCCTGCTTTTAGGCCTTTAGGACACCTTTGCAAGTTTGCTGGGAGAGCATTTATTCCACAGGTTACAGTGACATATGGGCATGTCATCATGCCTCTGTGCCCTGTGTCTCTCATGACCATAAGCACCATAAGGTACTATCACTTATGTACAAATGTTGGGGAGGTGACCCTGAGTGTCATGATGAAAGGGCTGCCCTTTCAAATCATCCAAGTGGCCTGGCCTTTGGTTTGAATAAAAGCATTCTCACAGGCCTCATGTCACCCTCCCTAGGCAGGGACAAGACCCCTCTATGACCTTTCAAGGCCAATTTGTTTGCTTTCTCTCTGTATTACTCAGTTTTTATCTGTGCTAGAAGCCTGCTTAGAGTGCTGGGAATATAATCACCCAAGTCCTAGCATGATTCTTGTTCTCAAATGCACCCTAATCATAATTGAAGCAATTATCATTTCTCCTCATAAAAAAGCCAAATGATTTGCAGACACATTGGTGAATTTATTTCATCAAGCCAAAGAAATGCGCTGTGGGCTGTCATTTCTTTTATTTAATAAGAAAGACACTGGGTACTTTGTATTTTTCCTGAGTGTGTGCCAGCCACAGACAAAGACTGAAGCAGGCAATCAGATGCATCTTGGTGGCTTTTCTCCTTTCCTGAGGGAAGAGTGCTCAAGACCATTGTCCAAAGGTAATTTCCAGTTCTTTCTCAGGCACAGGCCTTGAAATGTAAATGTACAAGATAAATATTTAATGTGTTCTGCTCGTCATATTAGTGTACATGGTTTGATACAGATAATTGTCATTAGGTGTAATGCTGTAAATACCAAACTAGGAACTGAGTAATGTCATTTGAAAGCCATAGATAGGTCTAATTGCAAGTAAAGACAGAAGACATGCTGTCTTTTAAAAACATGTGACATCATTTCTTAATTGTCCTTTGCAGTTGTTCACTTTTGATAAACTAGGGAGCTCAAATAGGTTTAGAATTCTGACTAAATCCTGAGATATCTGAGATAACCATTTCCAGCAAACACTCCCCAAACAGGCACTCCTGGAACTTCCAAGACCCCTACTGGCTTCCATTTTCTACTTCCCTGGTACCCTTTTTCTCTCTCCCTCTCTCCCTCTCTCTCTCTCTCTCTCCCTCTCTCCCTCTCTCTCTCCCTGTCTCTCTCTCTCTCGTGCAGACTGCTGTGCCTCCACTCCCTTCTACTCCCCTGGCTTCTGTGGGGTTGGATAGGGAGTGACCTTCAAGCTAGGCCAGCAGAAGGGAACAGTGTGCTGCTGGCCCAGGAGTGGGAGGTGAGAGGAGTGGCCAGCCCCCAATCAGTAGGGCTTTGGGTGGCATCAGAATTGTTTGGGCTTTATCCTGAAGACAGATCCAGGCCTGGGAGGGTGCCAAGTGGGCAATGACACTCTCACACATGCCTTTCTAGAATAATCCCTCGTGAGCATAGCCTAGAGGCTGGGCTCATGGGGTATGGGCAGGGGATAGGTGTTGAGTCCTGAAGCTGGACTGACAGGTTGGAAGCAAATGAGGGATGGCCTGGTGCAGTGGGGAGAGCCTTTTTGCCCCGCCCCAGGCTGCAGCAGCACCATGTCCCCGGCTCTCTCCGCACTCCCAGCAGGTTCTATCCCCCTCTGCTACCTGCTTTACCCTGAAGGCCTGGAGTGGGCTCTCTGCCCTGTCCATGAAGCAATAAATTCTGCTCCTGCGCTCTGTCATCCCTTGGTGCCACACATTCACACCTGCACTTAGTGCCCAGCTAGAGCTTGGCATGGGCCCCATCACATGGCCCATGGCCTTAGGTGCCCCAGGTGCCAGCCCCTTAGTGAGCACCCAGCACTTTTGTCATTTCTCCAGGGGTAGTTGGCATTTTGAGGATTGGGATGTTGGAGGAGAAGCCTAGCAAGGTTGGTGTGGGTCCTACACATTGGTTATAATGAACCCTCTAGAAGAATACAAATAGGACTGGGTATGTGACTGAGCACTCATCCATTCATGAAATCAAATGTCATGTCATCACTAAACATGATCTGATAGAATATTTAACACCATGGGAAGACATTCACAATATATTAAGTGCAAAAAGACAGGCCACATAGCTATACGTATGTACGTACTATATATGTACAATCTATATCTCAATATGTTTCTATATAAATATATATATGATAAGTGGTTTATAAGGTAAAGCCACATACAGAGCCAAAAAACTGGCAGGCTAATGACTAAAATGTTGACAGATGTTAGTTCTGGCTTCCTTAGTTAGATGGTCTCAGTTTTCAACAAGGAAGGCATGCTTTTGGAAAAGAAATTATTTTTAAAAACACATTCAGGCCGGGGATTTAGCTTAGTGGTTCTGCCGCCTGCCTTGCAAGCACAAGGACCCAAGTTCGATCCCTGGTACCAAAAAAAAACAAAAACAAGAACAAAACACATTCAATCAGTAAAGGGTTTTCTACCACTCTGTTTTGTGCGTACTGCTTAAGCAATATTCACACTTTCACACCGTCCTTTGAGACTCCTGGTGAGCTTGTTGCAGGAAGCCAGCACTGGCCAGGGGCAGCAAGGCCCCTTCTGATGCAGTTTCTGATCAAGTTGGGAAGCCAGGCACAGACCCACAGAAACACATCACATTTCCTCCCTCAGATGGGTACTGTATAGTCCCTAAAAACCCTGTGCATGTCTCCTGTCTAGTGCGCCCTATCCATTCCTCCACATCCAGCCCTGCCATCTCCATCCACGAAGTGGGACATACTGGAATCACCAAAACCGACAGGAGTGGTATCACCAGACTGAGGAGTGAGATGAAACAGGTAAGGATACTTTGGTGGTGGCAGCATCAGAAGGTGGGGAGAGAAGTAATTCTCCTGCCTGGGCTCACCTCAGAAAGCCATCAAAACTCAGTACAGGAGGCTTTGGCCTGCTCTTTGTTGATATGAGGTCCCTTCTGCCCTGTGGTCTAAGTCCAACCCTATACCCAGATAGGTACTCCACAGCCAATCACATGATCCACACCCGCCTGTCCCTAAAATCAACATGTTACTTGTACATTCTACAATACAACCTTGTCCGTGTTTGCTTCTGTGCCATTTAAAAAGTGGAACTATGCATAAACAGATGTTTCTCCATCAAATGTGTCTTTCAAATGAAATAGTGAAAAAGATCTGGAAATGGCCTGAAATGATCGTGATACCTGTATTCCCTACCTTCTACAGGTATCTTTCCTTTGTTCACTTTTAATTTACAATAAAAATCCTTTTGAACTGGTCCCACAACACTGCAGCTCAACATCTTTTCAGTCCTGATGTGCCAGGCACTATGCTAGGACTTGACCATGATTTGTGGTTGGGAAACAAATTTCCTTCTGACCGTTACCTGCAGTGAAAAATGTGCTCAGATTTCCTCCTCCATTTCAAATGCTGGTCATGATCCACTAGCTGAGTCTGTGTCTGTGAGGCACAGTCACCCCTGAGGTATAACCAGCAGGGCTCTGGGTTATCAGGGGGTGACAGAAGTAGTGGGGTGTTCTTGACTTACAGCTGGGTTTTATTTCCTGAATTTTTTTACTTTCAGATGACTAGGCGATTTAGTGCTGATGAACAGGTGAAACATCTTTGCTTTGTTTTGTCCTTTACTATATGTGCTTCATGTTCTTGCTGGCTTCAGTGTGGAAAGTAAAGCTATAAATCCAGAGTGTGAGTGCGAATGCATGGAGGAATGGTTCTGCCCATCACAGTAGCTCAAGCAGGCAACCTCTAGGAACAGAAAGACAGTAGGACTCTACAGCAGGAGAAATAACCTTGCCCTGTACCTTTTATTTTTAAAAAATCCATTTATCAAACTCTTGGGCTTTGTTAGGGTGCTTGGTAAAGGAGACAATCAGGGCTCTGCCTCTGAGTTTCTGTTCAGAAAGAGAGAACCAAATAGGTAGAAATGTGGGCAGTGATTAGATCGGTAAGAATAGGGCTATTCTTGGCCTGGGGGAATTTAACCCTGGAAGGAAGAAACTAAAGATACTGTCCTTTTATACCATCCTGTGACATACTTCTTCCTCCTCCTAGAAAACTGGATTCACTTATTTATTTTTAAGAGACAGGGTCTTTATGTTGCCCAGGCTCGCCCCAGACTCCTGGCTCAAGCAATTTTGCTTTAGACTTTTGAGTAGCTGGAACTATAGGCGTGTGCTACCGTGCCTGGCTTTGGAATCACATTTCTAATAACCTGATGTCTCTGACCCGAAAAACATAGAAGAAATGCCATGTAAATGTAGTTTGCATATGTTGTCCAAGGGTAAAACATACACCATTCCTCATTCTAATTTATGCTTCCTCCAAGAACCGATTTTCCAAATGTCTTCTTTTACCAGCCACTCGGTGGCACCGTCCCTCTGGTTACCCACATCCCAGCTGTCTGAGTGTGGGTGAATATGGATGGTTACTTCTGCCTCCATTTAATGTTGTCCTTGCATGTTACAGAGACAAAATGATCACCTTTCTTCATTGCTGGGTTTGACTTCAACTAGCTAATTTGTTTTGTATTTGAGCACTTATGTGGAAATATATTATCCTCTGTTCAAAATGTAATAGGTGCCATGACATTTTACATTTCTGCTCATTTTTGCAAGAACAACACGCATACAGATATACCCATGCAATTTAAGGGTACAGTCTGGATTTGTAGACAATGAAATATTTGTGTGGCTGAAAGTCAGCAGCCTGATCACATTTGTGCACTTAACAAATATCTATGGGCTTGGATACCTGTTAGGTGCCAGAGCTTAGTCATGGTTATGGGTATTTTGTTGATCTCAGATTTTCACAACTCACAGAAAACATTAGCATTTCATGGCCAAGTTTGGAAAATGTGTCCTAGCTTGATTAGGCACCCTGCACATGCAAAGAGAACCTTGTAGCATTTACTATTTTAACAAGATGCTATAGTGCTCCTCCGTGACCTGGCTGTGCTGCTGAGGGAGACTTTAGCCCACCCTCTCCGCGCCTTCCTTCTGGGACACTTGTCATGCTCTATGTGCCTGCTTGCTGCTGGCATCTCTTGCAGGAAGAAATGTCACTGGTGTCACTACACATGACTGAGTTGATTCTTTTTGTTTTGTAGCTCTTTTCTGTGGGCCAGGCCGCATCCAGCAGTGTGCATTCCTCCAAGTCTGCGGTAAACCTGCGTCAGCATCACCTCCCTCCCTGCCTCCCCCTCCATGTTTGTACCGTCTGAATCCTCTTGTGGCCTGGCTCATCCTCCCACCTCATCACTGAATTCTGGTTTGACTTTTGTGTGTGTGGTGCTGGGAATGGAACCCAGGGCATTGCTCATGCTAGCTAGGCAAGCCCTGCAGCGCTACTCTCCCAGCCCTCATCTCTGACTTCTAAGATTCGAATGAGGTTTAAAGATTTGCAGCTGATGCTAACAGGCTCCTCCAACTGTAATTCTGAGGAGATTCTACAAAGGCTTTCTTTTCTGTCTGGAGCTCTGTTCTCTGCTTATGCTCCTTGGTGCAGTAGATGAGGAGTGTTTTCCTCACCAATTCCCAGGAGTTTCTGGAACCTGTGGGGCATTTTGACCAGCACTTCACACCCACCGTGCTCCAGCTTGGTGAGACCCCAACACAAGTAAAGGCTTGGGAAATGTTCTAATCACTGAGGCAAGTCTGAGTCTGCCTCCCAAAGCCCAAAGGGGAAAATCTGCTGAGTCATTGA